ATATAATTTTTCATCCTAAATTTAGATTGTTGCGTTTTTATTGACGGTGAGTATATCTTGTTTCTTAATTATTATTGGACAATTGTAAGTCCATTTGAACATGGAAAGGCTGAAGACATCATGTTTTAATAGTTTATTATTCTGACATTGGAAATATGTCTTTGCGTTTTTTAATCTGTCGGACAACAGTAATTTTAATATAAATGTTTTAATAATTCATGCAGAATAGACATATAAAATTTCAAAGTTGCTAGGCAATATTATCTTAAGATAAAGGATTATTATATTTTGATTGTTACAAGAGACCCATTACTTAAAGATAAAACCAAAAAAAATTAAGTTGGCTAAATCTAAAGTAACATCGCCTATCATTTGCTTTTTTCAACAACATAACTAGTTTACATATGGTTTTACAACCACGCAATTTAAACAGGTGAGGTTGCATAAAATATCACACCATTGAATCTCAATGATGCATTAAAATTATATAACACAATACATTTGTTTTGAAAATTATATAACTATCAATAATAGGACAAACGTTTTTTTTTCTGGTTTGATTTCTTTCTGAGACAGTTAACTTGAGGTTAATCGGTATTGCCTTGTAATTTCTTTGCCTTTTTTTTTTCTAAGACTTCTTTTCTAAACACAGTATTAAAGGTATACAGTTACAATCATTTAAACTTAACACGGTGCAATATTTTTAAACAATTTGAAAAAAAATGTATAGTTACAAACATTTCCAAGTTTAATAAATTGTTTTTTATTCCTTAAGGTGTCTTGCTGTTTGACTTGTAGCTGTGTTTGTAAAACAGATTACTTTCAATTCGTTTTGCTAAAAGTAGATCATGTGGAATACAATGAAGGTTTTAGACAAATCCATCGTTATTCCTACTGTATTTTTAGAGCAAAGTACAAATTTTCAACAATTTTTAGTAATACACTCTTAAAGACAAATCATATTCTAATCTAATAGAAATTAAAATAGAACAGTTAACCCTTTTAAAAAATCTTTCACAATGTAGGTTATGCACTATCTGGTTTGACAGTTTCCCTTCTCCATTTTATTCTCATGAATAGGTACCAATTTGATAATTCCGAAAAAAGAACAATTGAAGAAAAGGAAAAATTATGGTACTTGTATTGCCTGATTGAAGGGCATGGTGATTTTCATCCAAGCAAAGAAAAATAACTGCAAATTAGATTTTTCTTTCATTGTTTATTGAAACCCAACAGTAATTAAATCAACTTAAATGTAGGTTTATAAAGCTAAGAACTAATAATGCCCCAATGGGTAAAAAGGATAATAAGGAGTATGTCGAACATAATGATATTTAATTTTATTTGACGTTCCTAGAATGAATCGTCACTTGTTTTGTATCGTACGTAGTCATCCGACATAAGTGACATATCCATTATTTTAAATTTATTTATTTCAATATAATTTTACTAACAATTTTTATTTTCAGGTTTAGGTGCCCCCGGGCGTGTTAGCCTTTTCTTTGACTCAGTATTTAAGGCGTCAATAATTTTTGAAGTAGAGCTACTCAAACAATCTGTATTACCACCAGCTTTCAGTCCAGTAGATTCTATTATTTCTTCAACATCATCACTGTCACTGTCACTATTTGTGGGTGATCCTGCAGTCAATCTGTCTGTTATATTTCTTGCCTCTGAGTATTCAGATTCCTTTCTGTTATTTTCTTTATGCCTCCAGATATTAAATAGAGCGCCTACATCAAATTTAAATGTCTGTTCTTCCGGAGAGAATGGCGTTTTGTGGTATTGATTTCTTTTATTGTCTCCATGTTTACTTAATGTGGAGGACCCGGATGGACGATCGTACGGCTTTGACCGTGGTGAACGCCCAGATTTTTCTTTTACCTTACTCATGGGTATCTAGTAAAACACACGAATAATTTTCAAATATTAAGTAAAGGCTAAAATATACTATTTTGATAATCATTTGTATTGCTTATAAGTATTAGACTCGCTACACTTTTTTAACAATTTTCGAATTTAAAAACTAATCCACAATTAATTTTATAGACTTGCCTCTTGGTTTGCTGCCTAGAAATTCAACAACAAGATACATAAACCTCCTGGATAGACATCGGAATTCCAAATTTCAAATTTAGTATTGGATGTAAATAAAAGACGGAGAGGTCGATGTTATTGATTTCTAACATTTAAATACCCTAGGAAGTAGGTTAAGCGCCATGTTTAATTTCACTGTTAACAATGCCATTTAAAGTTTAACAGGTACTCAATATGTGGTCATTATCTTAATTCCCTCTCTAAAGGGATTCATAATTTGGTTAAAGCAGTAACTATTTCTATGTTGGGGAACTGGATATAATGAGATAGATTTTGAATTTTAATATTACTATTTGCGAAAGCATGGATTCAGTAAATAGTAAATTGTGTTTTAGATAGGTGGGTTTATTTTCATTATGAAATGAATAAAAATAAGAAGTGAAATAATAGCCAATCAATTTATAACATTTTTATCATTGATTTGATAATTATTGGCTCTCTTTTAATTTTATCACATTTTTATCATTAATTTGCTAATAATCGGTTCACTTATATTGATAGGCATTATTGCTTTACTTGTTGGATCAACTATAAATTCAATAGTGGTAGTTTTCAACCACGCTGACTATGTGTAACATTATAACCGCCTTAAAATTGTTTAGAATATTTAACAACTATTAATCATTCCATTAAATCAATTAATAACATTTATATAGGTTAAATTTAATATTTAATTGTGTATAATCTGGCGTTTGGGTTGAGCAAAGGTATGCTTTCATTTTTGTCGGAGCTATAACTGCAGACTGACAAATTATCACGATTGTTTTAATTTCACTATGTTCGCGATTTGTCATATTTAAGAGAAATAAAACTTATACTGTCGTTGTTTTTTTTTCAATCTACGAAATCAATTCTCATCAATTGCAGCGTGGAATGAAAACCATCGAAATTGATACATTTTTAGAAATCTCTGATATTTAACGGTGTGGATTTAAAACGACTGACAGTATTTACATACAGGAGGGTGTTCATAGAAGTCAGTCATCGTTATATGTTGGTCTACTGTAGATCTATCCCTGTCAGGCTACAATTTGTCGATTGCCACATTATTCGCATATTTCATTTGCAACTATTGTCTTTCCACTGTAAGAGCTACAGATACACGTACACTTTTGACACGTGAATTTGTTGGAAGGCCTTGTCCTCGTAGAAAAAAAAATGCAGAACTCCAGTTTCCCTGTTATATAAACTTCACTGAGTGAGAGGGTTTTTTTATTTACAATTAAGAATGTGATTTTATTGATACAGCCTTCCTCCTTCTTTCAATACCTATGATAAATTGAAATGGGAATGATAGATTGTTCGCATATTGTTTTTAAATAATAATTGTGGAGATACCATGTAATTTTTAAACTCAAAAGCTCATTAAACATTTAAAAATTGGACCAGAGCAAAGCAAACCTCTTAACTAAAACATCAGTGGTAGAATGACCAGTTGCACTTGAGGAATGAGCAAACGCTGCAAATCGGTCAATCCGCCTTGTTCTCTCTGTTAAGGCCGGGAAACCACGGCAATATTCGTAGAAAACTCATTTTGAAAATAATTGGCTCACAATTAATGTGAAAAACGTCAGTCAGCATTAATTTAAAGTGAATTTAATGAAAAGTTCATGTAATCAGAAACATACACGGTTATGAGTTTAAAATCAATAGCTTGTAGTTTTATTTCGTTAACTTTTTTGTGAATAACTTATCTCCTTTTTATTTTTATGTACGTGAGAATGCTTTTGCGTATCGAATAAACTAAGAATTATAAAGCCTGAATGCATATAATAGGGTTTTATTCATGCGTAAGTAATTAAATTTAACATTAAAAAAGTTAATGTCATTTCAAATACAATAATTTTTTTTCTTACGTTATCTCTAACGTATTTTTGTTGTTTAATATTCAAATATGAAAAATGTTGTTTCATATTACGATTACCAGGATATATCGTGTCTATGTAAAAAAGGAAATAACCATCGTTATTTGACAAAACGTCGTGGATATACTCTGGAGGGACCAAAAGCCTCTAATTATAAGTCTGAACAATCTATGTTTTTGATACATAACTGAAACATAAATATTTATCTCAACAATCTGCATTATATATTATGAGCGGAATTGAAATTTACATGTAACTAGTGTAGAAGTACATAGCAGATTCTAAATATTTATATTCTAGACGTTTTGATAGAGTTTCTGAAATTTATTACAGTGTACACCATACGTGAAATCAGAAATCTTAAACAAAAACTTAACATTATTTACACCTGTGCATTTCAGTTTAACAATGCAAAGGAAAGAACAAAAAGGTTCTAATATTATGAGCATTAAAATTTCTTTGAGTTACAAATTGTTGAAAATTCCTTGTTTAAGATGTTTATGCATTAATTATTTTTCGCAGAAGATGTGTGTAGATTAAAAGTACAGTTATAAAATACTTATGTTGAATAATTTTGTCAATTTTCATGAGTGTCCCTACACTCTTTTAAAAGGTGTAATTTTCGTGCATTTTGTATTTATATTTTAAGCTAAAAATTTTTGTCGCTCGGAAGTTAATTGTGGTTTTTTAAAATATATGTAGATATGAAACAAAAACATTGTCATCAAGGATATTTTTTTTTCCGAATGGCTTTCTCGTGAATACCCCTGCTTTTAATTTGATTATCTGATACCTTAAAATTTTTGTCAGATATCAGATAAAGTTTAAAACTAATTATCTTTTAAAACTAAACTTGTAAAAATGTTAAAAAAGCTATTTTTTTATATATAGCATCAATACATACAAATTAAAATAATGATGATGATGAAGTTGATCCAACTATCCATGTATCCAACTAAACAAATGCTTTTCTAAAATGTATTTGTCTAATAACATTAATTTAAAAAATTAAATTTCAAAGGTCGAGTTGTTTACTTATTCGTCCACGTAATCACTTCAACAGTTTGTTTTCTACTGTACTGACAATAAAGTGGTTATTCTACTGCCTTTGTAATTTTCACTTCCTGTTACTTAATATGTATATGAACATAGTGACTACAGTCACGTAGTGGCAGTTGGATTTGATCACTTTGTGTTGGCTTTCCGATGGCCGGTGAGGTTTTGTGAAAATAATGCGGTGAATAAAATGTTATATTAAGTATTTATGTTTACTCATTCAATAATTCTAAACTCAATGATATTAAAGTAAAACTTAATCTTATGTTATGTTCATGTTCAGTGTTCAAAATTACCACCCGATTTTTTGACCATCCATGGGCTTTGGTAAGTGATTATTACTTTTCGTAATTATCGTTTAAATACCTGTTATTATCACAGATTAAAATAATAATTAACATTAAATGTTTTTAGTCGGTCTGCTTTAATCTTTAAGGTACAAATGCTTTCAGAATTAAGTCACAAACTATTTCAAATAAAATAAACATCATTTCTGTTCAGACCTTCGAAATTAAATGGGAACCGAGTAGCCTATTGTTCAAACATTGCAAATATAGCCTATTGTTCAAACATTTTCAAAAAAATAAAAATACTAATTTTGATTGCACAAATTTAAATTTATAACAAAAAAAAAATCATATCGAAAAGAAATGTATCATCTTCATTTTCTTTCAAACGCAAGGTTTCCTTTTTATATTACATATCAGATATTTGCCTTTATAAACATTGATCTCATTTTGCTTTCAGAAAACTCTAGAATCCATGAATAAGATATGGCCAAATCTCTTGGACACAAAAAGCAACGTAGATTTTTGGTACACGTTCATGCATATATTTACAGACAATTGAGAAATTTCATAAGTTTTTTGTATTATGCAGACCGATATTATTCATTATTTCATAGGTCACAGCAATGGCGGAAGCATGACACTTGCGCTAAGCTTACAGGAACAAGGAACGTGTCAGAATACTTCACAAAAACTATCAACCTGGCTAGCATGTACAATATTGACCAGTAAGATGATTTGTTTTTTGTCAATTTCATTTTTATTCTGCTGAATATATATATATATATATATATATATATATATATATATATATATATATATATATATATATATATATATATATATATATATATATTAGGCATGTCAACGAGTACCCGGTTAACCGGGTACTCGATCGAACGTCCGAGTATCGAATACTAAAATCGGTACTCGGTTACTCGGACGTATATTTTTAAATATTTCTAAGCTTATTTATCAATGCATTAAAACATCGGTTTTAAAACGTAAAATGTTCATTGCACATCCACATACAGTAATTAGAGTTTCCTACCCTCTAAATGACCGTTATCGCCTGTGGCAGTGTTTGTACAGTAATTATCGTGACCAAACACCTGATGTACCTAGTTACCTACCTGCTTTTCTCACCTTCGACTGTCTTCTTCCCTTATATTTAGTTTGCTTTAATTATTTGTTTTCATGGAACATCGTTTAAGGTCCATTATATTTAAATTAATTAAATAATTTTGTCAATTCTCTAAGAAGCCGTAAATTCTCGGGAAAGAGACAGACGATATTGTACGTGCGATTGTTGATTTGGATGCGTTTGATTACATTCCAATTAATGCAAATGGTTGAAGGCAAATGCTTTAAAATCTTATGTCCATCGTTGCTCCAAACTACAACATACTGTATCGTAATTCTATGAAATTTAGGATCAAAAAGTGTATGAAGATCGTATAAATCCGCTATGTTATAGGATAACTTGATCAAGTTTATACCGTTCATGTAGCTCAGTTACCACTTGGACGTCAAACGCACCAAAGAGTAACATTACAATTACGGAACAGATTATTTTTTAAAACAAAAACACTGTGAACCATTTATGATTTTATTTCTCGTATTTATCTGATAAATAAACTGAACTTTAAAAAATGTTAGATTAAATTTCGTCAGGTACAAATTGGTCATAATTGTTACAACGCATTTGCAGGTAACCTCCCATCGGTTTTATTTCTACAAGACTTTACAATGTTTTACAGTTATTAATTAACTTGTTCATATTTATTTACACTTTTACCGATACCCGGGTACTCGATCGGAAAAACGTCCGAGTAACCGAGTATCAAAAATTGACCGATTTGACATCCCTAATATATATATATATAAATGCACTGTATTAAGGACAGATGATACAAACAATTTTTTTTTCTTTGAAAAAGATTTAATATCATTTCACGAGTTTAGAAAAATGAATGGTTCTAAGAATTTTTTCTCTGAAGACCTGGAAAATGAAATAGACTTGAAAAATAGTAGTAATATTTCAATTAAAAAAAAACATATATAGACAAATCACATTCAGTTAAGGTTTACAGGTGAAAGCAAATTTCAGAATATGTTAACATGGTTAACAATTTGAAAGGAAAAGCTAACTCGGGTACAAAGTGAACTTAATAAAAAATGAAAGTGAATTTACTCCGGTTCACATAATAGATACCACAATAAAAATTACAACTGGAATACCACAACAATTGATGTTTGTGGATGAAGTTCCTAAACTTAGAAAATTAATCTTAAAGGAAACAAACGGTGGTTTATAATAGATTTCCAGATACTCATGATGATTGTGATTTTAATCATAATATCTCAACAAAATTAACCAATCACTTTTGGCCAAGTGGTAGGGCGTTCGCTTCGTGATCAGGAAAACCTTGTCAGGCTCACGTATATATATATAACCGCGCTTCACTGAACACACGCACCTGTGGCGGTATTATCGAGATAATTGACGCTTAAAAATGGACGTTTGTTGTGAAAACAGGGTGGCGGATGGCGGTATGCGAATTTGGCGTTATAAAGAGAATTTAATAAAGCATGAAAAACGTTCTTAGGAAATCATGGCGGTATAGAGAAAATGGAGAGGAATCGAATGGCGATAATTCGAGAATTGACTGTATATAAAGTAAGCAGTGAACGGACATTAAATTTTATTTTAATTTCAAGAAAGCCAACTTCGAGATTTTAACATTTTTTCACCAGAGGAATTTAGCATGATTATATGCATTTGTTGACCTCTTCTGCTTTTATGACGTTACGTAATTATCCAGATACATGTTTTAACGAGAATTTTCACATATGAAATAGAGTTCGGAGTCGCAGTTGGTGTCATTCCATATTCCAGTTCTTTTCGGGTCTCCGGAAATTTCAATGCAGTCTTCATTGTTATTATTGTTACTTGGTTTTCCTCTGTCCCAGTCAGTGAAGATCAGCGACTCTCCGGTAGATGCCCAAACAAAGCTCCCCTCTGTGAACTCATCTGTTCCACCGATCCAAAATCT